ATATATATATATATATATATATATATATATATATATATATATATATATATATATATATATATATATATATATATGCATGTTTTTTAATATCTTCCCATTTGTGATTCATTTAGAACCCGTATTTATATCTTCTAAATGTTTGTTTATTTAGAAATGTTAATCTACTAAAATCATATATTTTGCAAATATATAAATACAAAAATTATGAATAGAGTAATTGAATATTAAAATGATAGATAGGTGCAGCCAGTCATGCGCAGGGGGAACACGTGACATCACGTAGGTTGAGGTTTGATAAAGACTGGAGCCAGACTGCATGGTGATCCGGAACTCGTCTAGATCCGGAACAGAACGGATCTAGACTAGGTATGGACTGACAGATCTAAGGTGGGAGCAGACAGAACCTGGTCCAGATGGACCGTGACCTCACCAGAGAAGTCATGGTGAAGCCGATGACCTCGATGCAGCCGTCGTCGTGACGCTGAGGTTCGAAGTCCTGACTGTCGCTGGGGTTCCCCCATGGTGTGGTACCGGCACAGTACCTGCAGCATAACACACAGAAAGGGTCCGATTGGGTTTGGCACGTCCACTTCTAATGCTGCGAGCAAAGATGGCTGAGCTTCATCAATCGAGATATGCATTCATCCAGTTTTTACCCATCCAATATAATACCTGGGCTGAGCGGATCTCAACATCAACAGTTTTAAAAAAAGTAAACAAATGAATACAGCTATAAAAAGACTTTAAATTATTTATTAACAAATTAGCAGCAAAAAGAAAGAAATAACAGTTTCATGTAATAATAATAATAAAAAAATCAAACTAATAATTGAACTTTATTGATCTCACTTTGGAGAAATTCCCCTCTGCATTTAACCCTTGGGGAGCAGTGGGCTGCCACTGTGCGGCGCCCTGGGAGCAGTGTGGGGTTAAGGGTCTTGCTCAGAGACCCATAATGGAGCCAGTGGGGATTGAACCAGGTACTTCCAACCTCTAACCACTAGGCCAACACTCCCCATGTGAAGTGGACTGGATTGGACCTCTGATATCCGATCCAGCTAATCGCTCAGTTCAAAGCCGATCCAGGCAGCAGATCGGTGCATCTCTACATCACAGACCTGCTGTGCTGATTTTCCCACACACAAAGTTAACAATAGAAGCTCTGAGAGGAACTCAGAGATGTTTCTCTTTATCAGCAGAAGATCAGCTCTGGAGTTCTGATGTCTGTCTGTAAAAACCCAAAGATTTCTGCTCGACACTCAGAATACCTGGGAATGTTGAGGAAGAGGAGGCACTGCAGCTTCATGTCCTGGACTTTGGCTGTCAGATCGGTTCCGTCACACTGAGGAGAAACACAAACAGCCGAAGCCGGAGAGCGGTTAGAGTCCGAGGACGGCCATGTTCTACAGAACACCTGTAAATATCAGCAGGAAACAAAACGCCCATCTATTTAATCAGAGGGCCTGAACCCAGTCACAAGGCCCGAACCCCGGTCACAGGGCCCGGACCCCGGTCAGAGGGCCCAGACCCCAGTCAGAGGGCCCGAACCGTGTCAGAGGGCCCGAACCCCGGTCAGAGGGCCCGAACGCGGTCAGAGGGCCCGAACCCCAGTCAGAGGGCCCGAACCGTGTCAGAGGGCCCGAACCCGGTCAGAGGGCCCGAACCCCAGTCAGAGAGCCCGAACCCGGTCAGAGGGCCCGAACCCCAGTCAGAGGGCCCGAACCGTGTCAGAGGGCCCGAACCCCAGTCAGAGGGCCCGAACCGTGTCAGAGGGCTCGAACTGTGTCAGAGGGCCCGAACCGTGTCAGAGGGCACGCACCCCAGTCAGAGGGCCC